CTTTTCCTTGTTCTGTGCTATGCTTATTAAAGCACATATTCCTATGCTGATATCTAGGCTGTTCCCTACCATGGCTGATCCTGTGAGGCAGGTGCAGGGCAACAAACCAGAATACAATGTCCATATACTGGAGCTGTACCATAATATATATAAATAAGGAGATAAACTTTAGAAAGCAGACCTTTTTCTCCCTGAATGCTTATTAAGTACATTTGTAAATACTGAATTAATTTTGACTTGAGAATTCACCCATCATAGTATAGCAATCATGTCTAAATTTGCTAAGGTATTGGGAAGGACAATGACATGAGAGATGGAACAAGGAAAACAACTTTCTAAAACTATTGGAGCCCCAGGAAAGCCTGTCCTTGAAGGCCTGCAGGCCAAATCCACAGATAGCTGATGACCCTGACAATCTGTTGCCAACTCTGAATACATATCCCTTCAGAAATGTTTGATTTTTTTGGCCTTTTAAATTGCTCCTTCAAATAGTAATAGACAATAGCAGGTGGGTGTCCTTTAAGCAATTCATGATTCTGTTCCCAGGAGGTGGAGAAAAAAGGAGTTTCACGGTTGCAATATTGGAACTGAATAATGCTTGGCTATATTAATCTGAAGTGCACAGTGGGGAATATAGTAATATTTCCATCCTCCTTGTTACATTACTTGTACGAATTTTATATGCTCTTTTGCCGGCCTTGACTCTAATAATATGGGATCCTTCTTAATTTTCTTGATCTTTTCTTTAAATTTTGGGTCCCTTGCTAACACAGTTCAGTGAAATACATGCTATAAATATTTGTTAATTTAATTAATATAAATGACATAGTTTGATAACATTTTGATCCAGGCTCCTTGTATTTTGAACTATTATTTTAATGTTGGAAGAAATGGTTTAACATGTACAGAGATAAAGAGGAAATACCAAGTGTTATTTTAAAGCATGCATACAAAGTCAGAATGTCTGTACCAAATCAGCTTGTATCTGTCAGAATGTTTGTGGTTTTGTTAAAGATAAGACAGGAAGGAAGAAGGTGTTTTTTCACAGACAGTATTAAAAGTGTTCTTCCTAACCTTTAAAAAAGGCACACATCATGCAATATGCAGATTATGAAGGAAAAAAGAGTTATTTCATAAAATTTGGAAATCCCATCTTCCAATTTCTTCCAACTTATACTCCCCTCCTTTAGATTAATAAAATATGTTGGGGGGCACAGACATCTAAAGTTGATTTAAGTGCTCTAATATTAGATTGCTCTGATAATTCCCAATCTGATGGTTGCAAACTGGGATGGCAAAAGAGCAGCGATTGATTGATTGATTGATTGATTGATTGATTATGTGCCATCAAGTTGTTTTTGACTTCTAGCAATAGATAGATTTTCTCATGAAAGATCCTTGCTAGTGCAAATAGCACTATTTATTATCCTCACTAGTGTAGGTACATTTATATAGGCTCAGGACCAAGTCTTCATCTTAATAGTGTTTGGGAATATGGTAGAGGGCTTAGAACATCTTGTACTCTCCTCTTCTTACCACACCCACTTTGAAATTGTTGACATTTTGGATATTTCTCTGGCATTGAATTTTGGAACTAGGGGGGCAAGGAAGCTTTCCTTCAAGTTCTGAGTTCTCTTCTGAGCTCAGCATGGTGATCCATGGATTGTACTGCATCTGTGTCACTGCCAGGGCTACAGGACTGCATGCTAAGATTGTGCCCATCACAGAAGGCAAGTGGGCCAGCTGAATCCCACTCTCCCTCCAGTCATTGTCCCCTCCCCACAGGAGAATTTACAGATTTTGCTTGCTTGTTTTCTTTTACAAAAATCAGGACAGCTTTTGACTCAGAGCAATATATATTTCAAGAAGACTTATGTGAAAACACTACATAAACTCTATTAAATAAAATGGGATTATCCTAATATTTGATCCCTCTGTCTCCTCAACTATTAGATCTATATTATTCAGATACATGTCAATTAATGAAGAGCGTAGATCAAAGTAGCTTAAAAATAATCTACCTACTGTGAATTGTGGTACTGAATCAATGTGAGACATGACAGTCAATTACCCTTTTGCTTTTTATTTTGTCTTTTACAATTATTTGAGATCAATATTTTCAGTCTCAGATGATAGCAAATGTCAGCATTGTTGGCTTGCTGTAGACTGGCTGCTACATTATGCTGGAGTAGCTATCACAATCTTTAACCATTGAATTCATTTCTGGTAGGCTACGCAAAACTAGTGCCCCAGACATTTTTGGTAGGACTGCATGTCAGCAGTCAGTTCAGCATGAATGGAAAAAGGGATACAAATGTATTTCACCAATCATTAGGACATTTAATAAAAAATATAGTAATTATAATATTATTTTAAAGTACAGAATAAAGAAAAGAGAGGACCTGAAATGACAAGAGTCCTGAAAATGTGGCTGTCACTAACAATTTTCTTAAAATAACATTGTGACTGGAACTTGGAAATATATTTGGGGAATTTTGAATTCCCCTGATTAGTATAGCTCATGCAGAAATGTATGGAAAAGGCATTAGAGCAAGCAAGGATTTGTGATTCTCTCTTTCTATTCAGTGTGGTTTAAGCTGAAGGACTTCCCCAAGAAAAAAAAAGATATCTGATTTATTTAGGATTAACCTTTACGGAAATATGATCCATGAATGCTAGATTCATAAATAGGATCTTAAAGGTGATATACAAAGGTCAGAGATAGAAAGGTAAGGAAAAAATAATACAATAACTTAAATACATTAAAAGAAATCATAAAATAAAATAAAATAAATAAGAAGGATAATAAGAGTTTGAACCCACTGAGAAATCTGCATAATTGTCTGAATACAAAACACAAATACAATGTATAACCCAATAACATTTGCAGTTATTTTTGTATAATTCTGACTACATTTTCAATACATGGACAAGAATTATGAATTGTTTTCTCACAATTAAAAAAAAAAGGCTCTCTTCAGTTATACACTGAATTAATAATTTGACAACAGAACCAAGGAGATCCTAGGCCCAGGCATAAAGAGAATGCAGTTTAAAAGAGTAACTCACATCACACAACAAAATAACTATGGAAGAATCTGACCCCATATAGAATCAATCTGCAACTGCTTCCTCTGTGACTTTTCTCCAAACAGTATTCCAACCTGATTTTCCAAGAACCTTTGAAACATGTTCTGTCTCTCACTTAGCTCATTTTAATGTTCAGATGCTACAGTCCTGATATTAATAGGGATTAAGCATGAGCAATCAGATTGCTATGTGGAAGCTTACCAAGACTTCTATCTTTCCATTAATAGACAGTACTTGTTAGATTGAATATCCATTTGGGGGCAGGATTTACCTGTGTTAGCTTCTGAAAGCATAATCATGTTTTACTTATTGGCATATGATTTGAGAGTTGTACAAAAGTTTTAAATTGTACAAAACTACAGCTGCCTTTGCATTCAAAATGACAGTATCTGTAAATTAGGACTTGTGGCACTTGGCCCATTGTACTTTAGCAACAAAAGCTTGGGTTCATTTTAGTACATTTAACAATGGATTTTTCTTAACAAGTGTCTTTTTATGAAGATGCGGCTGGCAAAATTGAGCTCCAAAGAAGTTAAGGAAGTCCTTTCCCCATCTGAGCAAAGATGTTCAATAGTAGAACAGACTGCCTTGGGAGCCAATGGCTTGTCCTTTGCTGAATGTATCTAAGGAAAGAAAAGCCATGACTCTTTCCAACTCTTATTTTATGAAAGGCAAATCCAAAATAAGCTAACAGTCATTAGTAGTTGGCTGGCTTTTTCCAATCATGGTTTCAGGATATGGATGAATTTCATTATAATTCCTACAAATGGTATAATTGCCCCTTCCTGGCTAAAATGGCAGTGAGTTAAATCATTTGTTCAGACTACAAGTCCTAGTATTAGAGAGGCTTTAGGACATATTTTTAATGTACTCTTTGAAAGTTAAAGAGGTTCACATAGCTAGATAGCTAACTTCCACCGTTTGAGAGTAACCTAGGGTTTATGGAATCTTAGAAGGTGGAGGTGAGTTGGACCATAGATCTATTTCCAGTTCCCTCCACATCTCAGACTTCAAACATATTCAGAATTTATGCAGAATGTGAAGTACTGATATTCCTACATTTGTTGTATTAGGTGTTACCCTTTCATGTATTAGAAGTAGGTCACCCCGGTTCTTGTGCAGACCTCAGGATCTGCGAGGCACAGGAGGAATGGTGTTGAGGCATGTGTCAGTGGAAAAGATGCTTCCATTCATTGCTGAAGAGGCTGAGCATGGATGTTCTGCCAGTTGCTCAAAGCCAATTATAAAATGGTGGAGTTCCTTTGCATGCTGTCCATCTGTCTATCTCTCTTCCTCCATTCTTCCTCAGCCTAGCTGATTTTTAACCCAGCATATCATTGCCAAGTGTTGTTTGCAAAACATGCTCAGAACCCCTCTCTCTTGGCTGCTAGATAGCTGCTTCATTGAGCCAAATTAAGGGATTGTCCATGATCAGCTACAACATAAAAATCAAAAACAAGTTGTTTGCCACAAGCAGGAATAAACTTATAGGCATGAAAATGCAAACAGAATATATTTTAAAAGTTCAAGGGGAGAAGGGAGGGCGGAAAAGACCAGAATGCACACAGGCATATGCACACAATGTACAGTATACTAGTGTACCTATGCATATTGTATATTGCATACTTAACACAATATATACTTTACTTATCTAGAAACGCTAGCAATACATTTCTTCTAATTTTTGGTTTTACGTGTCCTAGTTGCTGCTCTTTGAATTTTTAGGGACAAATTGACAGGAGAAAAGAAAGGTAAAAGGTGTGGAGATAAGTGTGTGTATTCATATACATATAGCGGACAGGTTGATGATAAACTTTGTATCTTTGTATCTCCATCAATGAGTTTGATAAACCTGTTTAAACAAATCAGCAGAAATGTTTGAGATATGACTGATTTCCCTTTTGGTCTAGGTTTGGTTACACCAAATGCCAGATTTCCTGTCCCAGAAGTGCACAGAATGGGTTTATGTGAGAAGAGGTTGAATATATACTCTGCACCATTTCTAAACGGCAGGTAGTTTTACTCTATTGCTATCTGGATGATACTAAGCAGTACATATTCAAACATACTCATGGTGGTGGCAAAAGTTAATCCAGAACCTCCTTAACATAGCAATGGAAAGTTCATATGACCTTTTATTGCTTAAATCACTACCCTTAGTCCATTTAATTTGGGGAATAATTCTGTTAATACCCTTGTCAATTTCTGTAGATGCTGCTCTCATGGAGTAATGTCAGCCCAAAAAGGAGACCAATCCTAAAGTGTTGCCATTATGCAAATCTAATATACTGTATTGACCTGTGAAATCCATTCTCACTGAATTGTTATATGCCAATATATTGCAAAGTCTTTATATATTCGTTATGTCTTTATGTCTTTATATATTCTATATGTCTATTAACCTCTAAATAGGACATATAGAATATATAAATAGGTTAATAGACATATAGAAAGTAACAGCAATAAAAAGTCCCTCTCTGTCTGTCTGTCTGTCTGTCTATCTTTCTCTTTGTCCTATGAATTATTCTTGTTTGCCTATTCATAGTGCTATTATCTTAGAATTGTTTGCTGTATATTATCCTGCCTTGTATTGGTGGGTTAAATAAGCTGAACAGTTATACAAAAAGGAGCATGCAAAGACAAAGGAAGATAAAAAGTGAAACAATGTAATTGCCACCTATCTTTCCCACCATGCAATAGCAATTATCATTTGGAGAGCAAATGTAAATTGCAAAGCTCTTCTCCCAGGCAACCACCAGGACTTCTAGCTCCCTTTTTACACATGAATAAAAGGGATGACTGCTTGTCATGCCCACTGCTACCAAGCAAGTCTCTTGGTAATCCCTATTTTAGGTTAAGCCAGAAATAAAACCACCATCTATGATTGTTTTGTTTTCCGGTGGCCATGCTTCAAATTGCACGTTAATACCGTATTCCCCAAGGACTAATCAACCTCAGATGCATTCAAGGATCCAAACATTGGACCCAGAAGGGCTTTTTCTAGATGAGGACAGACAGAACAATCTATGATTTTCACTAGGTTCACGGAGGGGTGAATACACCTTTTATTAGCAATGATTTAAGTGATAGTCTTTGTTCATGGTACTACACAATATATCAGAGGACACTCTGCTGTCCCTCAGAGTTTACACTCGTAATCTTCAACACATCAGGTATATTGGAAGACGGAAGGGAAAGGGCAAGGAAAAGAAGAAAGTTTAGCATGATTTGTTCAGTAGGGTATGGGTATTAAGCCAAAACATCATGGTAACTAATGCTTTTTGAAGAGGGATCTGAAGGAAATAAGAACAGTAGCACCAATGTTCTTGAACAACACTCCTGACATAAAGAAGAACAAGGGAGGGTAGATAGCACTTTCTAAAGAAGCAAAACTATATAACTCAGACTTGTAAAGTTAACAGAAGAGAAGCATGTGTACCCATCTTGTACCAATATGTTTTCTTCACCACCATTATACTGAGTGGGACAGGAGTGAATGCATTAGTGCCGTTGCAGAGAAGGAATGGTTTTCCTTTCTTCTGTGCAGAATCAGACCAAACCAGTTCTTTATATTCTTCCAGCAGGAGAAAAAAGACACTGGAGGTGCATTCACACACATCCAATGTCACATTGCCAAGCTAGCTGTGACATTAAAAGTGTCTTTGTCTTTAACTTACAGTTTTTAAAAATGCAAATAGCATCCACCTGGGAGGATGTTATTTATCAGCCTTCCTCCCTGAGGAACAATCTCAATAGTTATCAGCCCCCTATTTGCATTTAAAATAGGACTGCTATATACATTTTTAAAATATGCACATTAAATGCAAAAATGCATTAAAGATCACATCTAACTTGGCCTTAAAGGACAGTATGATCCTGCTACAGAAAACCAACTATGTGAGAATGAGAGATGTAGTTTCAACCATGCAGCAGATGACTATTTAAGTTCTGTCTTAGCATCATATCCGATGTGGTTGGTTACTAGCATTTTAAATAGAACTTAATTTACTGGCACCATCCAGAGAAAAGTTATCCCCACACAAGTTCTACTAAAATAAGTGGAAACAGAGTAGGAGTGTATGGCATTCTTCAAATAATTCTCATTAATTTCAGCAGAGCGTTTTAGCAATTTGTGCCTGGAAGTAAATCTCCCTGAATCCAATGGAGTTTATTGTGAATAAAAATATACAGGATTGCACCACTGAACTGTTAAGAAAGGCTTGACTTGCTAATTGTAATATCTTTGAAGCAGCTACCTTTTTTTTTTCAGTGCTGACATACAAAACACTATGTAGGAATTTAAAATGAGACTGGAGATTACCAGTTTTCTCAGTCACCCTCTCATTCTTATTGCAAATTTTAACTTGCTTTGGAAGATACAACTGGAGTCTTGTGGCAAAACAGAAATTATTGCCTTCTAGTATAGACCACCGAGACAGAATGGGAACCACAGAAATATTTCTTACTTCATAACCCTACAAAAAATGGTACAGTAGATGATGACAAATGCTGCTGAAATGTCTAGAAGACCCACTCTTTACTGCTAGATATAAATCATCTAGTAGATGGACACACTATTTTTATTATTAATGGGAGATTTTTAAGGACCATAGCCTGAATGTAATAATGTCGCAAGAATGCTCACCCCATATTTGAAGGTTTCTAAAGGACAAAAAGAGCTTTAAGATACCCCTTAACCTGTTAAACAAATCCTACACCTATCCAGATGGACCAACATTCTTAGCCCTGCCCACTTTGCAGATACTCTTAGATTGTAAAGAGAATCCGGGAGTTGTCTATAGCCTATGATGTGCAAGATGACCATCCTTGCACTGAAGTGTCAGATTAGAAACCAGACTGAACTGAAGCTAAGTAGTAAGTTTCTCCCAAACTTATTGAGAGAGTTGAGAAGCCAATAGGGCTTGGCAAATAATTTGAAAGATGAGCTTTGCAATGTGGCTTTGCAATGCATGGCAGTGCATTACAAAGAACTTATCTTTGACTCAGTAAAGTGGCACGCCTATTTTGCAGACTTGCTCAACTACTTTGTAAACTGCTTCTGCTTGTCTTCACTTTATTCAGTACCTCCTTAGAAGCCATCACCATCTCTACCCTGTTTTCAAAAAAGAGAAATTTAAGTTTGCTTGGTAAATGTCTACATTCAAACAGCTGGCCTCCTTTTCTTGACTCTTACAACTGAACCTGATGAGACACCAGCTAGAAGAAATCAGGTAACAGCAAGCATTACTTCCATTATATTTACATACTTTGCCATTCCCAGAAGCATGCTACAGAAAAATAAAGTGTGAACAAGAAAAAGCACTAGCTGCTATTTGTAAGAGAGCAGCCACTAAACAGGACACATTATGCTGATGGAAGACAAAGAGGGAGTGCAACAGAACACAGCTATGCCTTACAAGATCCCTGTGGCCCCCATAAAGGGTGGATGGCTGTGAAAGCAATTTGTTCTACCAGGCATTTGGTGTTCAGGTTAAATTAAATTAATATTAATAATTAATATTATATTAATATTAATATTACTTGTTTTTTGGCTATTAGAAAAGTGAAAATCTATTTTTAACCTGATGGGCTGGCTGGGAACGGTGGTATTTGGAAGTTTTGTGTCTATTACTTTCTGTTTTATGTGTAAACTGCCCAGTTTTGTTTGAGTGGGCAGGATATAAATGCTTTAAGAATGCTGTAAAAAATAATAAATCCCTCTTAGACCCTATTACAAGCATGCTTTTCAAATTGGTCACACTAACTAATGAAAGGTGCTAGCAACAGATCCCTGGATTTAAGCAGAAGAGATATTTCACCATCCAGAATAGCTTCAGGGGATGAAATGGTGAGAAGTAAGAATTATACCTACGGTGCCATTACTATACTGTAATCCCCTTCATGGTCACAATGAGCTTTCTATCATCTGAGTCCACATTTGCTGTATAAAATCCATTTAAAAGAGCTATGGGTGAACTAACCTGCATAAGAACTAACAGCTGAACTTTATTGATGTTTTGTGGACTTGCCACAAACGCTCACTTACTGGAGGGAAACATTCATAGTTAAATTGATGTATATACCTCTGCAGGTGGGAGCACCTTATCCAGACTTGGAAGCTAATCAAAATTAGGCCAAGTTACTACTCTCTTCCTGAGAGAACATCAGGAAAATCCAGGGCTGTAAACTAGGGAAGCTTAAAAAGAAAAATCCCAGAAGGGAGCTGTAGAAAATGGTTCTGCTGCCATGAAAAATACATGAATTTGTCCATAAAGTCATCAACAAGTCGATGGATGTGTAATGATTAAATCTTCAATCTAGAAAATGTCTGCTAAAGTATGTTAATTCTATATAAAAAGTATAACCGTTATGAAGAATGTTTTAAGGGCTGCAAAAATTCTAGTAATCTTTAAATATCCTTTCCACTTGATCCTTTTATTAAATAATGAACAAACAAAATCTGGAATAATCCTTAGAAGTGTGAAATTTAGTCTGGGACTAAAAGCTATAAGGAAAGAGACAGCTGAGTACAAAGGAAGCGGTTCTTAACTTACCATCCCTCCATTCCCTTTTGCTTACTTTGGATAAAGCCACTTCCAAATCCAGTAGAGATTATGACTGAATAAACTTGTCGGAATTTCACTGTTAAGAACTGTGGGCTACAGTTTATTCATTCTTGCATACAGTAAATGAACCTCTATCTAAACAAGCAGAAAAAGTTTTGGGACATCATAAAAATTGTGTTTTTCTCTTCAGTGAACACATGACATGTCACCCTACTTTCTGTTGATGTAATACTGTTCAGTATCTGTTGTTCATATATTATATGTTGGACTTAGGTTCAAATTATTAATAAAAATCAAGGCAAGGCTTCAGAAAAGATCCATACTTTTTAATCCTATCAATTAATGCTTTGTGTTTGTCTTCAGACCTTCAATTCCAGAATCTGAGAACTAGAAGAAAAAGAGGAAGGAGGGAAGGAGGAGGACAGCTACAAGTATGCCATAATATTTCTGAGCAACTGCAGTTATTTATATTAATGCTTTCCTTCATATATATAGGTAATTTCCCCATACATTAGCTAATGGTGCCATCTTATGGTCGCTTCCTACCACTGTTTCATGTCTTTTAAGGGTTTCAAAGGTATCTTCTTGGTGACTTTAAAGATTTATGTAAAGACATTAGATAGAACCTTAATATAGACATTATAAGAACAGAATGTTTAAGGAGAATTGGGATCAATTGTGTGTTAAAGTTGTATATGACCTTCTTGACTATATCCCACTATTTGTAGTCTATTAAGGACTTCAGGGCTTTGTTTTTTGTTTTGGGGGGAGGGGGTTGACTAAAATAATTATAATGCAACATTTGAAGGGGAAATCTGCACTTGATTTGCAGCAATAGATTGTTGATATATGTCATCTGGAGGGGTGGGGGGGAAAGGTGGCATCCTTTCCTTTCAGACAAAGGGGCAAGAAAGATTTTCAAACTTTTCAAAAATCTGTTTATAACATTTTCATGGTGTAAGGAGGGAGCAGAAGCCAGAACGTAATGTTTTTTCAGATATGGCTCTGCTATTATAGAATAGTCTCCCCTTAGACATCAGTTTAGCACTAAGCATGCTGGCCTTCTGAAAAGCAGTGAACACTGAGTTGTTCCCAGAGGACTTCAGAGAGTAATTTTGGACGTAGCAGTGTAATAACATGGACTTTAATTGTTTATATTAATTGTTTTATTGTGTGTTACTTATTGTGGATATTTTATTGTATATATCCTATCATGGATGTTTTATTGTTTATATTTTGGGCTTATCTGGACTGCTTGTATGTTCCTTCACCAGAATGGGCCAGCGACCATTTTTGGAGGGCAAGAACAGACAAGAGCTTCTCCCCCTCCAGGAGTGTTTTTCTGCTGTAGTTTCAAAGTATTCTTTTTCCCCTTATGTCACCTTGACTGCTTTTGTCTGTTTTAGCTGGTGCACTTTATGGGTAGTCCTCACTTAACAACCATTTGTTCAGCAACCATTCTAAGTTACAACAGTGCTGAATGAATGGTAGTTACAACTGGTCCTTGAAGTTATAGCCATTGTAGTGCCCCCATGGTCATGTGATCAAAATTCAGGCACTTGGCAGCCCACCTGCATTTACAACCACAGCGTGTGCTTCAACTCCCCCTCACCTACCCCCCCCCCCCCATATCTGTTCTTTTGGCCACCCTGCACTCCACCATACTTGCTGTCTGGCCACCCTGCACTCCATCCTGCACCCCCATGGCCTGCCCCCTCTGCCCCCGTCTTCTCCCTCCTGCTGCTGACAAGGTGCATCTGGCCGAGGCACTGCTGGCCCTTTGTGAGGCCTCCACCGCCTACCCCTGCTGCCCCCCACCAACCTTCGCGGTCTTCTTCCTCCCACTGCTGATGAGGTGTTGTGAAGAGCCAGCAGCTGCCTCGGCCAGATGCACCTTGTCAGCAGCAGGAGGAAGAAGACAGCCAAGGTCAGCTGGGGCAGCAGGGATAGGTAGAAGCAGCAGAGTGCAGGGTGCTGAAAAGGGCGGAGATGGTAGGGGAGATAGGTGAGTGGGGGGAGTTGAAGCAGAGGCGAACGCAGCTGGGCAGTGGAGCCTCATCTACCAAAGCCAGTTTGGCCTAGTGGTTAAGGCTCCAGGCTAGAAAGCAAGAGATGTGTGAGTTGTAATCCCACATTGGGCATGAAAGCCAGCTGGGTGACTTTGGCCCAGTCACTCTT